AAGCTTGTTAGAGAACGACAAGTTCTGTTCTCCCCTCCTCGTGGGGAGAATCGATGGTTGTTCCCATCTTCAAAAAGGGCCCGCGCAATGACTGCGCCAATTATAAGCCTTATCCAAATAGCATCAAAGCTGTTTGTGTCTGTCATTCTCCGCCGATTGTATCCTACGCGTGAGAAGCAGACCCGCGAGGAGCAGGCTGGGTTTCGTGCCGGTTGTGGATGCATCGATCAAATCTTCACCCTCCGGCAGCAGCCAGAGCACCGTCAAAGACCGACGATCATTGTATCATTATACATCCGCGCGGCTTTCCACTCTGTCGATAGGACCGCACTATGGAACTGTTTGTTGAGGAATGGTGTTGACTTCACAGGCCACAACGATCCACGTAGAGTGACGCGCAAGAAACCCGGAAAACGGTGTCTTTCAACAAATAGGTTTCTTCTACAAATGCGGTACTGGAATACAGTTTACAATAGTGAAAATATGCAAACCTCAAACTCTGTGGCACTAGCCGGTTAAAAACACCGGAATCTGTGAAGCCAGTTATTCGACAAGCAAGAACTGCGAGCAAGCAGGCGCGCAGTGCGATGACAATAGAACCAACACATCGAACAATGTCGAACAGGATCACATGAATCCGTGGTGGTCAATAGTGAGAAGCGACCTAGAGGGAACCAATCACAACACAGTGGGTGTAAATGTGTCATCAGGGCCCGTCGTGACCGGTCCGTGAGATGAATCGGTGTAGGTGTGTGCGTGCGTGTGTGTACGCAAGTGTCAGAGTCAGTCGACCATGGGAACGGGTCGATGAGACGGGTGGGACCGACAGAGGTCAACGTAATGGGGCAAACATACTAATAGTGCGTGCGTATGTGTAAACGGCTTGCAGGACAGTCATGGGCACGGATCAATAAGGGGATGAAGTCAACATCACACGGTCAAAGAGAAGACAATGGACAATAGGATAGTGGTGCTGAGTGTGTGTATGTGAAGAGCGTCAATATGGGGCAGAATTTATTCTACAAATAGAGTACCTGAGAAGTATGTGCCGATCTGCAGAGAGTTGTATCATCATACCTCAGGCCGGGTTAGGGCCTACGGCCAACTTTCGCCACCCTTTGCCGTCTCCAGTGAAGTTCGGCAAGGCTACCCTATATCCCCATTCCTTTTCAACTTTGTCATAGACGATGTTCTACAAAATGCTTTGTCCGGTCTAACAAACGGTGGAGTCAAACTCCTC